CAGACCAGGACAGAGGGCGTCAGTCATTTAGTCCAGACCAGCCTTCCTGACTGGGACAGGTCTTTTACCTCTGCTTCTTCAGTGATACAGACCTTTTCCCATTGCCCATCGCACGCCCGGCTCTAAGGACACCAAAGCACAACTCCATCAGTCACCAGATGTTTCTTATCCATGGAGATGGGAGATAGTTTTCATCAGAAAATAATTTAGTTTGGGTTGGGATACTAAAATGACTTGCAGCACAATTTATTCAGGGCTCTTACGATGACGAATATTTTCCTTGGTTAGTGAAGGTCCAATTTCAGGCACTGATATTGTCAGCATGGCCAGACAGCAGCCACAGCCACGTGAGATGTGCCATGTTCTGATGTGGAACTACTTCAGTGTAGTTTTAATTTAGACATTAGTTGTCTTCATATAGCCTTTTAAAAGGCCGTACTTTGCTTTATAAATTATGCTGAGTGTCAGTACCTACTGGATGGTGCTCATTGCTCCTGTGAAAATCCCTATTTTTCCATGTAGAAGAAGGTGACTATTAAAGGATAGGCTTTGTCTCCATTTTTGTGTGTGTCAATTGAATCTGCACTCAACACAATGAAGAATTTGTATTTTAAAGCTTGAAAATTTAGTTTATTTTAAAGGTTTCAAACTATTTCTAATCTAATGCACAAAACCCATACAATTATAGAAGTAATTTTTAACGAATATTAGTTACGACTATATTCACTAATAATACAGGCCTGCTAGCAGTTAGTTATTGCCTGCACATTTGAGGATGAGAGGAACAAATCCACAGTGCCACCCATGCATTAAAACGGGTTGGGGTTCAAATATGTACACAATTACTGCAAATTCTCTTTGTTTCTGGGGTTGTGAAGCATAGCAGCCAGAAGTGAGGATGACTGCAAACAGAGGTTATGTCATGATGGGAAATGGAATAAGCAATAGTGAAGGCACGGAAAGATAAACTGGGTTATTCATCTGCATGTTTTGGTTACTTGAAGCCAAGACTAACAGAAGGGATTTTTTCCTTGCTTGCTTTTCATTTTCCTTAAGTAGCGGGCTAACGCAGTTCAGATGGCAAACATTTGCCGTTTCTGAAGCTAGAAAGAAGCATGACACAAACCATCAATGACATAAGCCAGTATTTTGGGATCAAGCAGCATGTGTAAACATCCTAGGTATGATCACTTGCACATTCTCATCTTTTCTAAATTTACAAGATGCGAATTGAGGATTATGCTGTCACCGGCTTGAGGTGACGAGGCGGAATGCAGCATTTCACAGCAAATGACATTTTTATTACAGCATGTATTTATCGAATGTCACTGCAGCAGGGCTGAAATGTTGCAGCCTTTACCTTTGGTTAGCTGGCTGCTCCAGAGTGTTGGGAATTCTCAGCTGCCCAAGGCTGACTGTACCCAGCTTGTCTGCAAAGGCTGCATTTTTGCACCTTGATCGGCTTGTGTACTGCAGGCACATGGCCACCACTGCAGCAGTCAGTCCAGCATGTGAGTCTTCTCTTTCTCACTTTGCAGCTCTGGGACAAGGCTGTCTTTCTCAGTGTGTCATTTATAAACAACACATTCATTTTCTGATTGCTCATAGGGTGATCGTTCTGCTCCTAACCTAATCTCTTTAGGTAAATTCTTCAGACAGGTGATGCTGTCCTCCCATCAGCCCCATAACCCCATATTTTTAAGTATGAGATCTCCTTGATATTTTCCTTTCAGATTATAAGGAAATTGGTTTGGGTGCTTCCAAATAGCAGATGACTTTTGTTTACTTGTTTGCCTATCCAGCAGCTTGCAGCCCTGAGCCACAGTGAGAAGAAAATCACTGAAAAGGAACTAGTGAGTGGTGGCACTGGCTGAAATCTTTTTCAGAAGAAGCTGATAGTGAAAGCTCATTGAAGCAAAGAGAGACTTACCTGAAAGGCAGACTGCATGTATTCAGCAGTGGAAAGTTCTGCTTCAGCCTCCAGCTCCTCTGTCCAAACCATGACTGGAGAGAACAGGCAGACATGACCAACCAGCTCTGGAAATAGGGTTTGATGCCATTTAAGAAAAACTGATGTTTTAATTATCTGAATCTGCCCGTTTTTCATCCTTTCTTATTTCCCCCTGGAGTCTTTGGGTACTTTTCTTCATTAGTTTTGGAAGTGAAGTGAGAGAGTGCTTTCCTGCCTGCCTCCACCGTGCGTTAAGGAGTGCGGTGTTACCATTCTTGCTAGATGAAGTCTTTTATTCCTGCAACTGGATACTTCTGCTGCTTTAATCCTATTTCAGAGCTGATGTCTTATTCTTCACGAAATCATGTTTGTAATTTCATGGTGATTTTATTGCTGCTTGCAGTACCTCCATAACACTCTAACTTCAAATCATTTTATTAACATTAATTTAAACACCTATTGTTGTTTCAGTTTTGTACAGCAAAACAAACAAAGAAACAAAGCAGGATTTATTCTCCATTATTTCTGGGTTCATTACCCACGTTGTGAATAAGCCATGCTATGCATGTAGCGGTGCCTGCACAAGTTCTGCACCTCCCAGCCTGACTGAGAGGACTCTCCTACCAGAGCACATTGCTTCTGGAAAGGACTGGGATTCTTCCAGGGCCAGCTGGGGCCCAGCAGCACTTCCATTAGCCAGGTTTTCCTTCTTTCAATTTTGCAGCTCCTCACTTCCCCTAATAATGGAGAGCTGATTATGTTTTAATTTCACAGATGATTACGTTTTGGGGATTACATTCACAGAGGATTAAATTGCAGGTTGCAGAGAAACAGCCAGGTTCAGGCACGAACCAAAGAAAGGTCTTACTTAGACTAATAGGCACATTAAGGGAATGAAGTTATAGCTATTTTTGTTATTTGACGCCAAACTATTTGGGGACACAGTATCCCGTGTGTGCCTGGCTCCATCACTTTTCTGCTTTATGGCCCCTTTCTCTTTCTGGGGTTCTGCCCACGCCTTTGTTAATCTACCCTCCTAACAAATAAACTCTCTGACTGTGAGTCCATGTGCACCACAGAGCTGCTTTGATTTATAGGAAGGCGAGCTAGAGCAGCACTCAGGTCAGGATATCAGTTCTAGTGTACAAACTCCTGTGTGTGAAAATCCCCTCCTCCTCCCCCCTAAAGGCATTGTAAAGGAGTGGGGTTTGATTTTCATCACGTTTGGAGATGCAGTGAGCATCTTAATCTCAACCCAGCTTAATAGCTAGCAACGCTTTTCACGAGCACTTATCAACACCCATGGCATGGATGCTCTGACAAAATTATCCTAGATTTTATGTTCACAAATTAGCAGCAACAGGACAGTCAGTTCATCACCAAAATCACCGTTTGGTGACCGCTTCATTAATACAGAGCATGCCTCTTGCAGGGGGTAAAAACTTACAGACAGGTTTTCTCCATGGGCAGAAATAACCACATTGCACATCGGGAGGATATGAACCTCTTGTACAGCAGCCTGCCCTTGTTCAGTTCTACTGCCCAGCCGCTGTTCCTCCTCTCTCTTTTGGCACTGCTGCAGCAATACTGAGAGGCTGGGACAAGGCTCAGGTAAAGCAGAGGCCAGGTGTGCCAAACACCACATTATGTCAGAATAAAAGGCACAGGCTTGACACAGGAATGAGGATCGTGCCCGCAAGAAGACTGAATCTTTGTGAAGTTTCCAAACTCAGCACTGAGATCTGCCTGCTGAGCTCTTCACTGTACGCATCGAACGTGCTTGATCCACTTTTACAAGGGATGTGATCTAACTGTGCAAAGTAACACATTCTTGTGCCTACCCACGGCCGTACACCGGTGCCGTGGCTGCGCTTCCGCTGCCCTGCGAACCAGCAATCACCGCCTTTCACTTCCTCAGTTATCGCCGGCAGCTGAAGGTGGCTGTCCCTGCCTCTCCTAAGGGCTCTCTGTGCTGCTGTGACAAGGAGAAAATTCGCACAAAGTCCACTTTTAGTGGATTATCGGGGAAATGGAGACCTCACTTTAAGCATCACGCAACAACAGCGTCGCTTGCAAAAACATTGTTTCCGTGCATCACCTCACTGCCTGCGGGCTCTGACCTGCGCTCCCCTGGGTCCCGCTCAGCAGACACTGCAGCATCTCTCAGAATGCATCTGTCGGAACCGCGCGCGTGCAAAGTGACGTCCAGTAACCCGTGCTGATAGCCAGGCATCTTGAAAGGGTCCTTCGGTGTCGTGTAACTATTCAGTAACCGAACAGTTGATTCCCACTGCCTCGCACCTGGTCAGCGCCCCTCACCTGCGCACAAATTGCAGAGTACGCCTTAAACGCGAATCACGTTTTCCCGTCACAGGTGGTGGCTTTTTGTACCCATTTAAGCGACTCTGCCAGGTATGGAGAGAGGCTCCGACCTGCCCAGCCCCACTCCTTCCCCCGCATGAAGGTGAATTTTGAAAGCAGCCCGGCCGTGCCCGCATCCTTTCGTAGGCAGGGGAGGGAGCGCCGCGTGGTCCTTAAGGCAGCGCTCGCAGACACCTTACGGAGGAAGCACGAAGCCCTGGAAGGAACGTTTCCAGAGTCTGCTACGAGCAGCACAACCTTCGCTCCGCGGGTCATCTGCGATGCTCGCCCGGACGCGCAGGTAAAAACTCGGTGTCCGGCTGCGGGGCCGCTCGTCTCCCAGCAGGTGCGGCGAACGGAGGGAGGCGTGGGCCGGGCGCGGCGCCCAGGTGGGGCGGGCGGTGGGGGTCCCTTCCCCGGGCGTTGCCGCGACCGCCCCCGCGGCCCCTTCAGCGCCACTGCGGCTCCGCGCGGCGCTGGCCGCCCCCGGCCGGTAGCGGCACCCTTCCGCGGGGCGGGCACAGCCGCAAGGCTCCTGTCCCGCCGTCGCCAGCCCGGCGGGGGTGGGTTGGGGGGGAGCGGCGGGGAGAGAGCGGTCGCCTGCGGGGCCGGTCCTCGGCCACCGTCCCTCCCTCCCTCCTCCCGCTCGGTGACCCGCTCCTCCCGCCCGCCGCAGCGGCCTCCCCGCATGGTCCCCGCCGCTGCCATGAGCCAGGCCCCGGCCCCCCGCAGCTCCGACCGGCCGGAGAGCGATGCCCGCAGCGGAGCCCCCAGCCGGGGCCCCGGCAGAGGGATGCCGCCGCCGCCCAGCCTGCCCCAGCTCCTCCACAAGTAAGAGCCGCCCCGCGATCCGCCGGGCCGGGAGGGCAGCGCCGGGCAGGGCGGAGGGTCGCTTTCCTCCCCGCCGCTGGTGCCCCCCGGAGTCCGCACCGACAGCCCGGGCGGGCAGCGCGACCGCGCCCTACAGCCGGCACCGCTCCACTGCTGGGATAAGCTCCGTTCGTCCCTAAGCTCCGTTTTTCCCCGGGTTCTGTTTGAGCTCCGTTTCCCCCAGGCCGCTGCTGCCGGGCTCCGGGGCTCGGCGCCGCTCGGGGAAGTTCCCTGCGCCGTGCTGGGGCCGCGGGCAGCGCGTCCTTGCCGGGCCTGCGGCGTTGGCATCTCTGCGCGGCCGTCCCTGAAGTCGGCCTGCGCGCGGGGAGCCGTACTGAGGGAGCAGCGAGCGGTGGGTGCTGCTGGCGTTTTGCCGTTTCGTTTTCTGTCCGAAGAGAGAAAAAGGAAAGCACTTTTGCCATACGGTGCGGTGACGCGAGTGGCACTGATGTGGGTGAACGACAGACTGGCTGTGCGCTCCGTGGTTCCGTGTGACGCACGAGTTGAGTTGCGAAGATTCAGATATCTGTGCCTAATAGTCAGAATGCCCTGAAAGATAGGGGCTCCCACCAAGCAGCGAACCCGTGGGTGAACCCACAGCTGTCAGGATCGCAGCCTTGCGGCGCTCCGGCCGTCCCCGTGTCCTTATGCCCGCCGTCGGCGCTCGGCCGGCCCTGCGCTTCCCTCCGGCCGCAGCCGACTGTTAGAGCGCGGCTTTGGGCATCGCCTGCATCGGTTTGACAACAAAAACAGCCTTAGGGAAGAAATGCTTTCAGTCCCGGCCCTGTTTTCGGCACGTGTCCGTGTAAATATTCAGGTGTGCTTTAGCTTTGCAGAGTATTATTTTGAGTTGGGAGTTATCATTTCTCAGCATTTATGAAACTGGAGTCCTGAGGTTGCTGTGGAGTGTGGCCCATGTCGTGCATGATGTTTGTGTTTCCTCTTATTCTTGTTTGCTTTTCTGCTGTTGTAGCTTGTCCTGTCTGTGTGTTAGCTGTTCTTGTTGTCTGTGCCTCCATGGGCATGCTTTATATCCACACTTATTCCAAAGTCATATATATAGACTGAGAAGCTTGCACTGAAACTGAAACGTGGGTGAGTAGTACTGGGAGGCTGAGGAGCTCCATGGGAATGGCAGCACAGCAGGATGGTGCTTATGGTCCGTGCTTGCTGGCAGTCAGTTGGAAAGCCCAAACTGTGGCCTCTGACTCTGGCCCTTACTCCTTAATGCTTACCGAGGCTTTGCAGGGCTGCGTAATGCGCTCAGCATTGACTCATGATTAATTTTATAATGAGCACGCTGTACACAGAGCCATGCCATTTCTACCGGCTGAGCCCGCTATCAAACCCTAGGTAGGAAAACTTGAAATCAGTTTCTTTTCAGGCCTCTCTTGAAGGGAAAGCTGTGAGGAAGCTCCCATGCTCCAAGTGCCCTTTGCCATGGCAATGCAGCGCCAGGTGTTGAATGAGGGCTGTGTCCATCTAGGGCCCTGCAACTCGATAGTGCTGTTTTCAAACCCTGTGACAAAGCCTTGCCTGCACTGCTGCATTTACATTAACATTCATACATCTCCACGTTTTAATTACAAAGGCAGACAGATTGTATTTTGCTTTACTTGATACAAGTTCGGCGTTCTGTATATGTGAGCTGGATATTTGGTGTGTTTGTTGTAAGGAAGGAGTATATTAGGGATTATCTTAAAGTGCTGGTGTGAATGTACCTGTGGGACACTAGGACAGGTGCCGTGCTGTGCCCAATGAAATAAGGTACTTTGGGAAGCTGGGGGGCAGCGATCCGTCTGTCTCAGCACGAGATGAAGTTGTGATTCTGTAACTGGAAAAGAAAACATTGACCTCTTACTTATTTTAAACAAACAGTTGGCACAATTTTGCTTTGCGCCATTTAAACTTCCTCTGGATGGCCTTTCTTCCCCTGCTTAGAAATTGTTGCAGGTGTACAGTGAGGAGCAGGCAGAGCTTTCTGAGAGGGTTGTGGTGTTGGGTGGGAAAATACTTCGTGATTTCCAGAAGTTAAAGCCTTACTGCAGTCGGAGCTGTTATGGAAAAGCTGGGATTGTGCACTTCGGGGGCTGACTGCTGAAAACATATGCTAGCATAAGAAATAAAGCAGAAGGCAGAGAAGAAGGGGATGGCAGTGGGAGCACTGTTGGTGGACGTTCATAACCTGCTGCTGCTCTTCGCTCACTGGTGGGGGATGGCTTTACTAAATGCAACATCTCAGTGTATGGCAAATTTATCACCTGCTGTGGTGTTGTCTGGAGTGTGTGCCCCCATGGGAGAGGGGAGACTGCTCTTGGTGTGATTCTAGGTGTGATTCATTGCCGTGCACTGGGGCAATGGGCTGGAAGCACCTGAGAGGAAAATGAGGGCTGGGCACGGCGTGGCAATAGGGCCTTATGTGAGGAGTGCTCTTTGCAAACATGCTGCGAGCCAACTCCATAATTACAGGAGACCTGATTGCACCGAAATGCAATCCCTTTGTATGTTTTAATGGCTAGCTGCCTGCTTTCAGTTCTAATTATTTGTCGTGGGTAATGTGTGCCCAATGGAGATGGAGCACTTCTGCACTGCCTGTGTTGATACAGGGCGATGCGTTTGTTTTACACGTGGAGTAAGGCATCCTGAAACAGTGTGGCGGGGAAACAAAGTGAAACCATTATTATTAATTTTTCTAAGGGGTTTTGTCCCAGAGATTCTGAGCTGCTGTGGAAGGAAGATGGAATTTGTAACATCTGCACCCGAGACGTCATCATCCTGTGCCAGGTCTGGGGGCAGCGCTCCGAGCTCTGCTTCCCTGCAGCACTTCAGGGGAAGCTGTTGGGGGGAAAAAAATAATGGCCCGTTGTTAACTATTTGTTATTTCTTTAACTTAAATCCGTAATGTTGAGGCAGGTGCCTTGGGATTTTATTTATTTTAAGCACATCCGTTTTGTGTAAAATTGTGCGTTTTTCATTTTCTCCTCTTTTTTTTTTTTTTCCCAACACAAGGTCTCTCTGGAGAGATAAAATATGAATGTACTCCCCTTGTATACATTAGTCATGGCAAATAGTTTGGCTTATATGGCAAAGCAGATACTTCACAAAGGGATGCTGGGAGAAACACTGCTTTCACTGTTTCTTTCCTCAGTGTTACTGACCCAACCTTTCCTTACTCGTTTGCCTTTTAAAGTACATCTCCACAGCCTGAGTTGCTTTCCCCACCTGACAGAGCCCTGAAGACTCATCTACTTACATATAACTCGTCCCTTATGTAAGGCATTAGCTAAAGATCAGTGATAAATTAACTCTATGGATATTTTATTTTAAATAAAAATGACTGAAAGTGTCAGGTTTCTTTATCTTTTTTTAAAATAAACTTTTTTATTTTGTTCTTTAACCCAACAACCTGTTGGGACAGGAGCTCAGTAAAATGCATTCAGGGGTTGGAGAGGGGCTACAGAGGTGCAAAGAGACATGGATCAGAAAAAATAATTTAGAAGTGCCATCACACGTGCTGATATCTCCATGCAGTCTGGCTTTTATCGTCTGTATCAATAAACTCATAGTTGCCCAGAAATGTCAAAATAATTCTAGATATTTAAGTGGGGGCAGAGATAATAGCAACGGTGCCAACTTTGGTAAAAATGAAAATAACCCACTTCTGTGAGACCATGTAGACAATGGTTTATGGGATGCAGCATGTGGCAGAGGAACTCTTTGCTGTAACTGAGTTGCTTGGATCTTGCTCTTTTATTGGAAACTTAATTCTGCTGTTCCCATCAATGAGAAACTGGGAAATGTGTTCTTCTGGGGCTCTTGGTTCAGGTGTTAACTTGTGTGCCCTCAACTGAGGTATGGCTGAGACATGGAGATGTGCTGATGTCTTTCCAGCTAGCTGTGCCTGATAGAAAGGAAAGCAGAGGTGGGTGCAGATCTACTTTCTGGGGACTGTCAGAACGGGGGGGAATTGGGTCTTGAGAAGTACATTCATGCTTTGGAGAGGGCTGTGGAAACTTCTTCAGGAGAGCAAGAAATGCGTTTTTGTGTGAAGTGATTTTGGTCACTTCAAAATACCCCTTTGGATGGAATCTGCTGTTTCTGAGGAGCGTGCTGTCTTGATTTATTTTTAAACTAAATCTTTCAATCAGATTTGCAGCTGGATGCTTTATCAGACTGGCTTTATTCCTCTGAATTCCACCCCCACCCTACGCCCCCCATTCTTCGTACCGTTTTATAGTCGGTGTGAGGATGTAATCGTTCTGTTAGCCTCTGCCCCTCCACACCCAGCTGCTTTCTCTTTGTCACACTAATGACCCGTCACTGTGAAGCTGTCAATTTGCACAGTGGGTGAAAGCAGAAAGCCTGGCCTCTTGGGTTTTGGAGACGTTTAATATGTGTCCCATTCTGACAAGTTGAGCCTAGCCCGTCTTACTAATGCCTCTTGCCTGTCTAGAACAAGTGTAAAATAAAAGCTCTGCACATTCGGCGGCATGAAGGGGGCAAAGGTTTGTTTTGTTAAGGGATCGGTATTTCATGATGAGTGCAGAGAAGCAATTATTTTTGTTGCAAGCTTGCTGCTTTTATTTTTTTACTGCAGACTTATGAAATGTAACTGTAACGTACTTTAATTGCACCACAAATGATATACTTTGTCTTGTGCATTTGAGGAACTGCAAGGAAGCCAGTATGTTCATTTTTTTGTACACCCGTGCTGGGAGATAAGCAGGACTGGGGTGGCATTGAGCTGTGCTTTTGCTGCACTGAATGTTGGTGATGCTGTTCAGTACTGTTCTGTGCACTGCAGCTGTTTTCTTGCAGCAGGGAGATGCAGGGGTTGGTGGGGTCTGTGAGGCAGGGCTGCTTCACACAGAGCCTTGCAGATGTGCAGGGCTTGCTCTCACATCTTTACTTGTGCTTCTGTATTTGCAGAATACAGAACAGACTAAGCATTTCTGCAAGAA